AAATGTGATCATAACATGTTGAGCTTCCAGTGTTGACCACGCTCATGGGTGAGACCGCATCTCTGATAGTGTGCACAGATCCGAGCCAGTTCAGGGAATGGGGGAGAGAGAGTTAAATCCTCGCAGGGTGGAAATGTTACCCAGTCAGTACCTCTGAGAGCTCCTGGCACTGCACTGCACTTAGCTTAGCAGGATCTACCATTGAAGGTATTCAGATCAAGCCACCAATTGATACGAACAAAAGTGGTCCCAGATTCTTTACTTGAAGAACCTTGAAAATGCTATGCATTGCTATTTGTGGATCTGGAACACGTATACGCCAGGAGGAAGTGAGGTGAATTCACAGCTAGATGGAGCAAATGACTGAATGAGGAACAGCCAGCTCATCACATATTCAGTCTTTCATTTCTGAAATCATCCCATTTAGCCACTTCACTTGAGGACATCTGTAAAGTTGGTCCGTTTAAGCCCTGAAGCTGGTTTGCATAAGTACTGGAATAAAGCTAAAATGGTTTCCATTCACATGACAAGCCTCCAAAAATAATTGGCTTCTTTAAGTGGACAATTTCATTTCTCCTTTTGTTTATAACAGATATCTCCAGGGGGATAAAATTGGTACTCAGCTGGCTTTAGTTCCAATACTGTTTTTTTGCACATTAATGGGGAGTGAGATTGTGGAGGCTTACTGACCCTGAAAGCAATTGGATTTAATGAAAATGAAAATCAGTGCTTTTTAACATTTTTGTACAAATAGGTTGTATTTCTTTAATTTGAATGCATACTCTATTCCAAGATGTAGGTGCATAAATCCATAGCTTTACTTTGGTCATGCAAGATAATATCATAATTATAAATAAAAGATGAATTAATTGATGGTGAAAGTATACTTTCCAAGAGAACAAAGAGACCTGATTTCACTCTAAATTATTGTGATAATGTCATTATTATCATTATTATTTAAGGAACCGAGTTCCTCCCACTTTAACTACTGCAAGTCCAACAATGACTGTTCTAAAAGCAACTCAAGGTATACGTGTGATCAAGAATCTACGAATATACTGGTTGTTCACAGATAGTTATCATTTTTAAAAGATGAAAAGACAATGATTTCTCTTCTTCTGAGGCCTCGTGCGCCATGAGACTTTCACTGGCTATGCAGTGGTGGATTTTTAAGCCTTAATTATAGGCACATTCATCCCATTGTTTCCATGTGGTACAGGAAACACAATTAGTCGCACATTTTAATTAGCCTCTGTGGTCTGCATGCTTTTCTAGATCTGAAGGACTAGCTGGAGACCAGGAAATCCTTTGTGTTACAAGGAGTGAGTCCTGGGATTCACCAGCGTGAATAATCAAGGTAATTTCTTCGGACAAGGAAAGTACCTCCCTTTCCACATGCAGATAACCCAGACAGGGTGGAATCTAGAAATGAAGTATACACTGCAGATGAACAGTCTTCACCGATCAATCCACGTCATCCTTCTTTATGCATTTGTTTCTAGTTCTGCCTCCCTCCTTGCCCCCACCCTCTCTCCTTTCCTGCCGTCAGGCTTTGCGGCAGGCACCAGCGTTCCAAGGTGACTAAACTTGCTAGTTACTGGATTTGTTTTTTCAAACTATCAAAGCCATTTATTCTCGTAGCAACCGGCCACAGAGTAAAATGCCAATCATGTCCTCATTCACAACATTTACTTGAAAACCATTCTTTTCCTTATAGAGAGTTATGTGCTAACTGCTGAGAAACTGGACAAACTGCACACGTAAGCCGCTGTGGAGACCCAGTGACAGACCGCAACCGAAATTCCGATCTCACCAGGTCGGAAGGGTACAGGTACGCTCATTGTACATAAGTGAACACACTGTGTACACTGTAAAACTCTTTGTGAAGACTTTGTTTTTCCATCTGTAAAAATGGGGTTATAAATCCACCTTACGGGCGTTTAACTAAATGCTAAGTTGATTAAGAAAATCAGCTAAAGCTTAGTGGGAATTTCACAATCATGTTTGCACTGCTCATTTTTCAATTTCCTGACCCCATTCCTGGGCTGAGAACCGAGCCTGGTGTTTAACTGACGTCCAGGAAAGCAAGAGGAGTCAATCATGAAACTCAATAGGCAGACGCAAACGACACAGTCGGACTCACAGATGTCAGTCAAGAGGGTTTTATACATATTTGCTGTTGAACAAAAAAATGTGTTGTTGCGGCAATAACGAACCACAGCCAGTCCTGCTCCAGTGAGGCGTTTGTGTGCCTCAGAAGCACCAGGTGATGCAAAATTGTGCCATAAACACCAACGAACTGACAGGAAAAATGTGCCTGGGGGCACAGGACTCGGAAACTTCATCATAAGAATAGTAAAAAGTGACATAAAACAATAAAAGGATAGAGAACTTAACAGAAATGATAATACAGCTTTACACATGTTAAATGGCCAAAAAAGCCATAAATATTACAAGAAATATGGCATTTTACCTTGAAAAAAAACCTGGAGATTACTTACAGTTTGAGGCTTCAGAAGAGGTTCTAGCTTGTGAGTCGTTTCCAAGAGGCAGAAGGAGGGTGACCTGCAACCAGACAGAAAGTTGTAGCTGCAGTTTGGGACGAGTGTGGGTCATAACCCAGGTGATGACACGACCACAGATGTCTGAAACATGTGCATCTTCTGTATTCCTACGAGGCTCAGTAACGCTGACGTTTCTCCGTAAATTGCATTTAATCAGTGAGGAAATTAGGCTATGCTTAAATTCTTTCCAAATAGAGCAGAAGTACTGGAAGAAATTCTCGTTTTCACAAGTGTTATAGCTGAACTGACCGTCAGTCTCATATAAAGTATTAGTAGTAAAATTACTGATTTGGGGTTACAAAAAGATCTACGTTGTTAGGGTAACTTTGCAATTTATTTTCCAAACATCCATTATTATTAGTAGCAATGAGACAGCAGTATAAACCAGGACTATCTTGGGCAAGCTAGACCTTACGGCCATCTAACTCACTGGTGTAAGGAGAGACGTTTTCCTATGTGTGCACCAATTCTTTGAGAAAAGAACTGCAAAGGGACTACTTCCACCACCTCTCAACATATTACCCGATATAGTGGAAATTTGAGGAAATACTTTCCCCAAATAATATTTATAATATACCATACATCTTTATGATATTCTCCCCCATTAAACAAAAGTTCCGTAAAGGCAAGAAACCTGGCATTTGTGTTCAATGACACAGAACTTACAACAGAGCCTGAATTTTTTTTGACAAACAATAATGATCATTGAATGACGAATGGATGAATCAATCTATTCATTAATGATACAACTAGAACATACTGATATATGCCCACTTGGCTGGAGTTACACAAGTCAAACTGAGAGAGAAGGGACAGTGCTACGACCATCTGGCAATAAGCTACTCAAACTGTTTAATCAGTGATCACCTAATAAACTCAGCAAGACTGCAGGATGAAGACTCAAGGCAACATTCAGTGGCTGCAGCAAAACTTCTCCAACAAATATTTTGAAAAAAACTTAGTGCCATAATAGCTAACAGAATATTACAAGAGAAGAACAAAGTTAAGGAACTGACACTCGCCTACTTTAAGACTTACTGTAAAACTATAATAATTGAGACAGTGTGGTATTGGCGACAGAACAGACAAACAGATGTATGGAAGAGAAAATAGAACCACGAAATAGAACAACACAGGTGTAGTCAACTGATCTTTGATAATGGAGCAAAGATAGTCTTTTCAACAAATGGTGCTGGAACAACTGGACATTCACATGCAAAAAAATGAATCTAGACACATGTCTTAGACCCTTCACAAAAATTAACTCACAACTGGTCACAGACCTAAATGTAACATGCAAAACTACAAAACTCCTAGAAGATAACATAAGAGAAAACCTAGATGACCTTGAGTATGACAATGAGTTTTTAGATACAACACCATGGAAGAAATAATGGAGATGCTAGATTTTATTAAAATCAAAAACTTCTGCCAAGAATAATATCAGAAAAATGAGAAGACAGGCCACAGACTGGGAGAAAATGTTTTTGCAAAAGACATATCTGGAAAGGACTTATCTAAATATACAAGGGACTCTTAAAACTCTACAATAAAAAAACCCAACAACTTTATTCAACATGTCCCAGTGATCTTAATAGACACGTTGTCAAATAAGAGATACAGATGGCAAATAAACCTATGAATAGGTGTTCCACATCATATGTCATCAGAGAAATGCAAATTAAAACAGCAATGCGATATCAATCACCACACATCTATTAGAACAGCCAAAAGCCAGAACAGTGGTGACAGCAAATGCTGGTGAGGCTGTGGAGCAACAGGAACTCTCATTCATTACTGGTGGGAATGCAGACTGGTACAGTTGCTTTGGATGACAGTTTGACCGTTTCTTACAAAAACTCAACTAAACATACTCTTACCATACCATCCAGCAAATCATGCTTGTTGGTGTTTACCCAAATGTGTTGAAAACTTACGCCCACACAAAAATCTGTGCAAGGATAGTTAAGCAGCTTTATGCTAACTGCCAAGACTTGGAAGTAACCAAGATGTCCTTCAGGTGAATAGATAAACTGTGGTACAGCCAGACTGAAAAGAAATGACTATCAATCCTTGAAAAGACACTGGGGACCTTAAATGCATATTAACAAGTAAAAGAAGCCAATTTGAAAAGGCTACATACTATGATTCCAGCTGTACAACATTCTGGAAAAGGCAAAACTATAGAGAAAATAAAAAGATCGGTGTGTCAGGGTTTAGAACGCTGGGCATGAGTAGGTTGAGGATGGGGGATTTTTAGGGCAGTTCAAATACTCTGAATACTGTCCTAATGATGAATACATGTCACTGGACATTTGTCCAAACCCACTGAATATTCCACACCAAGAGTGAACCTTAAAGGAAGACCTTCAAATGGCTGTAATATGTGTCATTATAGGTTCATCAGCTGTGACAGACACGTGACTGGTGGAGGACGTTGATAACAGGGGAGGTTATGCACTGTGAGGCAGGTAATAGAGGAGGAACTTCTGTACTTTCAACTCAATTTCGCTGTGAACCTAAAACTTCTCTAAGAAAAACAGTCTTAATTTAAACAATTAATATACTTGAGTAAATCCCAGACTCCACAAAAGCAAGCAGAATTACTGTACCTGCTCTTCAACAGATGTCTTGAGCTAGCTGGGAGACAGATACAGGAGACGCGTTCCCACGGTGTTTGGAAAGACCAAACTGTAAATGCCGACTTGTGACGGTGATCAGGATGTCTTTGGTCACGGTTATGATAAGGCTGTTTTTCCTCCAAGCCGGAGTTGCTAAGAAGAAACACAGGGGACCTTAGCTTCTATTCCATTAAACATGTACACAGCATTTAGCATTTTCAAACATTAAAAAAGTATATATTTTTCTCATTTAAGCTGCTAAGAAACAGTGCACTATGAATCATAATCACCTTTCATAGGTGCAGAAATAGGCTTAGGTAAACTTAAAAATACATATGTATATATTTTAAGTTGTATATATTATATGTGACAATATATATTTTAATTACATATAAATTAATTCATAGGGTATGTTGATTTGTATTTATATATTAATCTACAAGTGTAATCATGTGTATATAATTTGACATATGTACATCACCACAAAGCCAGTAATCAGAATAAGTTAGGCTTCAAATCCAATCCCTGACTTAGAACAGTAGTCAATCACTGCATCAGCTTCTTTTCCAAAAGAAAATTTTTTGAGACAACTTGCAATTAGAGACGTGATTAGAGTGCTGTCCCAGAGACGGAAGTAAGGTAAAGGCGACTCTTATCTGACGTGGGAGCCTACCTTTCTGTGGAGAATTCAGGCAGCCAGGTACTCTGCCTCCTGGGTTCGTGCTCACGCTGTCACTACCTCTGTCTGCCTACTAGGCTCTTTGCTGTCTCCAAGTCACATTAGGTCTTTTTCCTTCCTTCTGCTTGAAACTCCTTTCCACCGTGTATCTGCAAGACTCCCTCCCTCAGAAAGGTCAGGTCTCAGATCAGACGTCCCCTGTCTTGAGAGGACGTCCCTGACGGGCGCCCCCCACTTAGGATCGAGCTCCACACTCCATGTTTATCCTTGTCACCTTCCATACCTCATTTTCCTTCAAAATGCTTACTGTTACTTAACATTATTATTCGATTTGTATATTCATTCACTAAAAGTTTAAAAATGAGCAACCCATTTCTTCTGTCTCTAAGAACAAAATCTGAGGTCTGATCTTTAAAGTCAGAGATGGACTTCTGGGTCCCCATAACCAAGCAGGGTCAGTCCTCCCTGTGGAAGACGGCCCAGAAAGGAAGCAACCATCCTGCACAGGCAGCCGCTGTCACGTGACTCACTGTAGACCTGTGCGCAGCCCCGCTCCCCACCCGCTGCGCTCCAAACAGGAGGACTGGTTGTGTTTGCGCCTTGGTTGGGAGGCCGCGGGAGGGGCAGGGGAAATCACGTCTGGGGGGCTTTGGGGCTGGGGAGCCTTGCAAATGTGATGGGGTCCCCCACATCCCTGTAAGACAGCCCCCCACACTCCCCACGCAGTGTTTGTAAGGACAAGGGACACTCGGAAGCAGAGAAGTCATCGGCCTAAGTCTCAGAAAGCCAGAATTCAAAGCCAGATCTGTGTGATTCCAGATTCTTCAAACAGCGCAGTGATTGATTATAAATGGGCACCTGTGTCATCACCACTCAGGTCAAGACACAGACTATCGCCAGCACCGTACAAAGCATTGTTTCCAAAATTCTCCCTTACTCCCCTCTTCAAAGCTAACTGTGGCATTCATGGTAAGCTTCTAATTTATATATATATAAATTATATATATATATATATAACCTTATATATATATAACCTTAGCATGTAACCCAAACATGATTCTGAGTTTCCTATTTCAGGAACTCTGTATGTGGAATTATGGCATGTGAGTGCTTTTATGTGTATATATGTGGATGGATTTTGTGATAATGGATGTGCCTGTCTCATTATCAGTTTCTGAAATAAAGGTTCCCACTTTTGACACTCAAGGAAGATGCCTGTTTAATTTTCGAAGTAAGAAATATTCACTTTTAGTTTTAGTTTATTATTTCTTATTGCAAACATGCAGTGTTACCCACTGATTTTCTTTATCTAAGGTTCATTCTAAATCTATACTATGTGATTTTATCCTTTATTTTGCTGTATGATAAAACTGATTATCAATTGTTAAAGCAACGCTGCATCCCCAGAATAAATTCAATTCTAACTGATGTAATTTAGATAGACAGATAGATAGATAGACAGACAGATAGATTGGAAGAGGCAGAGGGAGAGAGGGAATGAGAGAGAGTGTTTGGCCTCTGATTACAAGGAAGACTGGCCTGTTATCTTCCTTAAGCTACTTTCAGGTTCTGTAGTTAGCATCGTCCTGGCTTCACACAATGAACTAGAAGTCTTTCTCCTTTTATTCTCAGAGCTTGTGCGAACATCCTTCAGATCGCTGTTTAACCATACATCTGTGGTTTGTTGCTGCTGGGCTGTTTGCTTCTTTGCTTTCTAACCACAGCGGCTGCACATCGGGCGAAGAAATATGCGCAGACTTTTCTGAGATTATTAGTGGCTTTGATTTTATGGCGCACAAAGTAGTGAGGCTATGTATCATGTGATAAATGGAGTTTGGTCCAAGACTTCCCAACAGTGAGTCCAGTGTAGCTGAAGACCCAGCCAATCGTCTGCCATTGTCAAAATCCCCCAGAGGCTTCCCGACCTGCTGAGTCAAGGCAATTCTGCAAAGAGACGAGCGGACGTTCTGGGGATTTGCTCTCCCTACTAAGATAGAAAATGGAAAGCAATACTTTATCCCTGAGGAAATTAGGACCACCATCAGAGTCTTGAAAAATGTCGGGTTGTTTATTTCTATTATATCCACATTTAACTCTATTTAGCCTGTACATAAGGCAGATGCATCTTGGAGTATGGCTGTAGATTGTCAGAAACATAGTAAGTGGTGGCATCAATTTCAGTGGCTAATCCAGATGTCGTGTGTTCACTGGAATGAGGTAACGCAGCCTCTGGCGCCCAGTCTGCAGCTACTGACTCTGAAAATGCATTTTCCTCCGTGTCAATTTGAAAAACTATCAAAAAGAATCATTTTCATCTGGTAGAAAGAACAGGTCACCTTTACCATCTTATCCAGGATTATGCCAATTATCTTGTTTCTTTTCATGTGTCTGTAGGAATCTTAATAACCTTGATTTTCCACGAAACATTTCGCTGGTACAATACATGGAATCATTATGCTGATTAGATCTGATGAATCAGAACTCCTAGGAAACGCAGACACTTTAGTAAGATGCGTGTGATCTGCAAAGGTTGTGATGAACCACAGGGACATTCAGTGGTCCACAGCTCACTGAGGGTCTCGGAAGTCCAGTGAGCTGGAGGGTATTGGCACGTTCCCTCTGACATCAAAGAGAACGTCCTGCACGATGCACGCTGTTCATCACTACACACAAAGCAGCACGATGCTGAACGAGTCTTCTTGAAGCTTGGAAATAATACATGACTCATTAAATCTGCGACTCTAACTTCTTTTCTAAGTAATCCATAAGACTGACAACTTTTAATTACAGTAAAAGAAAAGAATCTGGATCAGGCCCAGGCTGCAGTGTGAGCACCTCTCCCACTTGGGCACTACAATTCCTACAGACACATGGAAAGAAGCAAGAAAGAAATCCTAGTTTGAAACAACTGAGGTTTCTTCTAAGAGCCAAACTTCAAACTTACCAATTGTGTTTTTCAAAGAGTTTTTTCAGTTTAACAGAAGGCAAAAATGTTGGTAATAAGTGGGTTTGTCTTTTTACACAATCTTTTTTATTTTCCAGAAATCCATTAGACATGACAGAATTACAGCATCATCTAGAAGTTAATCTGAGCTGTTGCCTGGAGATTCATGACGGATATTTCATTCAATATTCAATAACTATTTATTGAGCATCTATTCTATCCCCTACTATAAAAAAAAAGTTGAAACAAGGATAGTTTCCACCCTCAAGGAGATTGCAACATGCCAGGCATAGTTTCCACCCTCAAGGAGATTGCAACATGCCAGGACACAGCGATGGTGCTGCATCTCCGTATTTCTACGCAATGTCGTTTTTTCAAGAACATTTAGGGAGATGTTCTTCCTAACGAAGGAAAAACGGGCAAAAACATGGAGTCTTCTGAGCCAACAGAGATGGAACTGGAATAAACTAAGTTACGAGCAATGCTTACAGCCCCAAGCCAGAGACCAAGAATTCCAAATTCAAATAGCAATTCTTGTTACCCAGGCTGAAAAAAGCCAACTACTACCAGGGTGTATTTGAGAGAATGAAGCCATTTTTACAAAGCTGTTGAAAACACTGTTTATCAAGACTTCATTTATACAAGAGTGTAAACAAGACCAACACCCAACTAACAGGGTCTCAAAGATGCAGGTATCACAAAAGAGTCCTTGGGAGACAAACGAAGCTCACAATGTGCATGCAAAGAAGTGGACTGGGACGAAAAGGACATTCTCTTAACCTGCTGGTATTAGAATCTGATGTTAAGCCTACCTAGTTTGAATTGGAAAGTGTACTTTCTAGATACAGATCCAGCTCCACTGTTTCCCATCCTGGAAGTCACTCTACATCTCTGTGCCTTGGTTTCCGAATATTTCCAACAAGAAACACAATGACACTTTCCTTATAGGGCTATCAGCAAACTAAATGATAAAGTTCTAAAGTGCTTAGCAAGGTAGGTAGCACATGGTCATCACTCAATGTGTGTTACTTCTTATTACTGTATCCCTCATTGTTTATGCTTTATAAACATATAGATAAAATATATATTTTATTATTTTAGACAATGGGCATAACAAGACTCAAAAATATGGCAACTATCAACAGAAGTGATTTTGTTCATAGACTCCTCTGGGTGTTTTTCAGTACAGATTGTTGGATGGTCAGCATTAGAAAGGACTTTTTTTTTCCTGATTTATATTCAGTTTCCATTTTAAGGGATTTCCCCTAAACTCTCCCCACATTTTGTACCATCAAAAGCCTCTCTGTAGAAATGGAGAGAGTTACCACAGCCACTAGTCCGTATGTGCCACCTGGATGGAGCAAAACTCTATCAAAGGTCGAAACTGCAGGCGTTTTATTCTCTATCCGTTTCTCCCGCGCACCTGAACCAGCAGGAGGCACAGCTGATTAAGTGTGACTTTGTTGATTCAAGTGTTCAGTTGGGTGGGCTGTCCCACATCTAGATGGGTATTGGAGGAACGTGATGGGGAGCCAGCCAGGTCGCCTTAGCTGTCACGGTGCACCGTACCCTCCAGCCTACCTCTTTAACTATGATAAATGTGGTACGTTGATGGTCTGGTCGCTGAGTGTTTTCTAAGTGTTATTTCTCATTTGTTTCAGAATATGGGCAGAGAAAAGGGTTGTTATTTACTGTATGCCTTCAAATACCCCCAACAAAAAGGCCCCTAAATATCCAAACCATGGTTCTGATGGGGGGAAAGGGGCCGCCAGGCAAACAGCACCTGTGTTTGATCTGACTTCAGACCCTCTCCTACTTTTCTGAGATGAAGGAGAAAATGCGGGAATTTTCATTTTCATCTTCCTGAGCTTCTCCATCATGGCCAATCTGAGGCAGTTTCTCTTGGCTGCCTCCTTCCTTTTGGCCCTGTTTTGGTCATAAAGTCAACATAACATATCAAAGCAGCCCGCACAGGCATGAACGTGCCTTCTCAAAGCCTCTCACTGGATGCTTCACTGTGAGTGAGTCACATAACTTCCCTGAAACTCAGAAATATCCTTCGAATAATACTGATTAATAATGAGCTGTTCTGTAATTTAAAGCAAAAAATGAGTGTAATAAACAAACAGGTGGGACTCTCAGCAGAGAAAGGGAAGCTCTGAAAGAGAGAACCAAATGGAATTGCAAAAAAATTGCAGTTGCTCTGTTCTTACAGGTTTATTTTGAGGATTATATGGGAAAATGGGCTTGTGGAGGGTTTTAAACCGTAGAGAGTTACATAAATAATGGTAATAACACCACAGTAACCGTTACGTGATGCTGCAGCGTGTAAGAGGTGCTGAGGACCCAGAGAACAGGCCCTCCCAGCAGTGAGCGGTGGAAGCGCCACGGCGGGTGACTTGGAATTAGGCCTCTGAGTGCCACGTAGTCCAGCACCTGCACTGTCCCAGGGAGGTAAGGTCTATGGGAACCAGCGGGCCAGTCAGACCCCGTACCTGCCGCACAGCCAATGCTTTACGCCTCATTAAGACCCCCAGTGACCACCTCACTGAAGGCCACTGGAAATATCAAAACAGTCATTACTGTTGTAATGAGCTTTCGTGTTTAATAGCTCCAAGCATGAAGGATGGCTAGCTTTTCAGAGAGCCATCTATCCAACAATATGGTTCACCACCCGGAGGTAACCCAAATCCCGCAGACTGCCGCGGCCACTGCCTCAGATTGAAGCGCACACAGTGTGTGGGAGGGGCGTTGTCAACCATAATGGACAGGTTCACCAAACTGTCGCCGCACAAATGCCTCCTTCTTGTGATACCTGGAGTCCTTCGCTAAGGACATCGGAAGTCACTGGGCTTCGTAGTAATAGAAGCAGTGATAACAATGGTGAGAGAAACAGAAAGCATGTGTGTATCCCAGACACTCTGCTAGGTTTTTCACATTCAGTTTTTTAAAACAAAACTATGGTTTCATGATGCTTAGAATATATTCTAAGAGAGGGGGCCATGGGGCAGCCAGAGACTTATCTGGTAGCTCCACGGTGTCGCCCTTGGCAGTGGTCCAGGCTCTAATTCTGGAGGGAATGGACTGTATTGAACAGAAAAAATACATTATAATGTGATGGTTAATTTTACATATCAACCTAACTGGGCCACGTGGCGCCCAGATATTTGGTTAAGTATTTTTCTGGGTATGTCTACACGGTATTTCTAGGCGCTCTTCGCATCTGAGCTGGCAGAGCAAGTAAAGCAGGTTTCCACCACCCACCCCCACACACAGGGTTCTCCGGCATCTCCAGCCTGCTTAGAAGGGTCTAAGTAGGACAGTGAGGTAGAGGAAGAGTGAATTTAGTCACTTGCTGCAGTGAATCTCTTTCCGCATCAGCTCTGTTTCTCCGGATAACCCTGACTAACACACCTGACTAATGGCTTAGAAGCTATTGCTGGCTGTTCCATGGACAACAGAGAATTACATGCCTGTTAAAACATATAATCCTTCAGAGGAATGTCTTTAACATGACAGAGAAGATCAGTTAACAGTTTTTTGAATGAATGAATGTGATGAATTACTTTAAGCTGGTAAAATCCTAGTGTTCTGTTATTCACCCTTTCCTCACTGGAAAATACTCTCATTTGGAAAAAGGCACAAGACTTCAGAAATTGGTCGGCGGAATCAAAAGGGAGGGTGGGCGTTCCCAGGAACTTCTAAATATTGCCACATAAAAATTACATTTATCATGTTTCTATCTGCTTTTACAATGAATGCATTTAAAATGAAACTTTCCATGGATTATTCCTAAGATATTCCATGTTTGCTCTTATCTGTAACTTTTACCCATGTCTTAGAAAAATTATTCCAAGTATTTTGATCTGCAAAATAGGGATGTAAAGGCCAGAACGCTTCAGAGGGTTAGATCAGATAAGTTAAAAAAAAAAAAAAAAGCCACCACGAAGTTTAGCATACAGGAAGTGCAGAGAGCGCTTAATAACATTTGAGGGGTTTGCTTGACTGTCTGTTTTAAGCTGGATTCAAAATGTATCCTGTCTGTGAAGCTAAATCAAATTCTGTGCTTAAACACCCCCCCACCAGCTTCCTATACAGTAAAATACTCAATTTAAAATATCTTCAATCTTTTGTCATCTCCATCATTGGAAATTGAATAAAGCGGAAGCCAAGGTAAACCCAAAGCTTTTTTAAAAAGTCGCACAATTTCCACAAGGTAGATGAATTGTAAAATGTCACCTCTGTAGGACAAGGGAAAGGGAATCCAAATAAATAGGAGAAACAGGACATTGGCTTTCTTTTTCAAGAGCACCATGGCCACTTTTCACCCTGAACGAAATTTTTTTTCTTAATCTACATTTTTGAAACAGGGTGGATTTTTCTCTTTCCCTGAGTTGAAATGTAAGCAACAAAGACAAACAAATGAACAGCGTCAGTATTTCATCTATACAAGTTTTGGTATTATATCAGGTTTTCTTATTCCTCTCTTGAAATTTTGAAGTTATTTAGCTATGTGGCATTTTATGACTTTCTTCTTCCTTTTACTGGACTCAGTGAATAATATCTTCCAAGATGTAGCTCAAATGCCACCTCTGTGACAAGAGCACAGAATCAAAAAAGTAGAGAGTGTCTGCAAGGTTTACTACCTTTGCAATCATTTCTTTTCCAGGGCTTTGCTGTGGTTCGGAGGCAGATTTATACCTGAGATTATGATTGTGTTTGTTTTCTGGCTCTCTGTTTCTCCCTGCTACTGCTGTGTTTTCACAGGTACCCTGGGAGCACCCTCTGAGCTGAAACAGTTGCAGAGTAACCAAGAGGAAGATACTGTTTCTGGACTCCTGATCAAATTATTTTGATTCCAATGGTTAGATAACCTCGAGAAGGAAAGGAAGAGAGAAAGGAGGACTGAGAGGAAAGAGGACAATGTGGAGGGAGGAGAGACCTCCGGGGGGAATAAACGATGGCAGAAGGGGATGGGCAGGGACTCAGCACCCGGCTCTTCTTAAGTGTGAACCACTCACCGTGCCCTTTATGGATAGCACAGAGTCTAGAGTCCTGGGCACTTGTCAGCCCCATGGAGAGAACCTGAGAACGTGGACAACTTTTATGGTGACGGGCATTAAGGAATAACTCAGATTCTTGATTAAGATTAAACTGTGAACATTATGTTATATACCATAAATTGACACATTGTAACTGACTATACTTCAATAAGACAAAAAAAAAAAAGATTAAACTGTGAGAGTTGTCTGGGAATCCTCCTGATATATGATGTCCTTATCCACTGGACCAACCACCAGTATTTTTAGTTTGTTTGTATTTAAGCTATTGCAACTTCTTTTTTACAGTGAAATAAATATGTACTTAATTTAGAAAGTTAGAAAGATACATATTTTAAAAGCAGCAAAATATAAATATATAGCTTATAAACTTTGTCCGTAAGTCTAAACATCAAATATTATAAGTAATTTCACCTTGTTATTCTTATTACAAGCTGTTTTGGCTGCTCTAGGCATTTGGAATTATCCCATGTATATTAGATAAGACTGTCCTTCCACAAGGGAGGCTTCTGGTGCTTCGACTGGGATTGCACTGAATCAATAATTAAATGAAAGGAAATTGGCATCTTAAACTTCTGGGTTCTCTAATCCATAAACATTGTACATATCTTTCATTTAACATTTCATTTTTATTTTCTCTGAGTAGCATTTCTCTCAGTAGTTTTCAGAGTACAGGTCCCACACATATATATTTTTCAATTTATCCCTAAGCATTTCATTTTTTCAGATGCAGCTGAAACTGGCAATTTATTAAATTTCATTTTAAAAGTGCTTGCTACTTATATATAGAACTACAATTGCTTTCTGTATATTGAACATGTATGTCACAACCCTGAGAAACTCACTTATTAGTTCTATGAGCTTTTTTGTGCTTTCCACGAAAACCAGCATGACCATATATTTGATAACTGAGATGAAATAACATTTTCCCTAAAAAGTTAGAAACTTGAGCTTTTTAAGACTCAAGAAAAAAATTGAAATCCTGAATTCAATGACTCATTAAGTGCATTTTCAGCCACTTTTACAGCAAAATAATATAATCCAGACAATATCCTCAGCCGTGATTTACTTGCTCACTTGACAGACATTAAGCATGTTTTTATAGTCACTAATTTAAAGTTAGCTTTTAATTAGTATTCACTGTGTCTGTTCCTATTCAGCAGACAGTCCAGCAAATGACGGCGTCTAGGAGGAGGGGCCTGGCTTCCTCAAGACTCTCCAAGTCTTAATCCTCTTAAACCTGGGACAGTTGCTTCATTTAAGCCACACATCTGACTGTACACTTGGCCTGGGTGTCTTCTAATTTCCCTCCCATCAAACAACAATACTACTGGAGAAGTATATGTAATGTTGTAAACAGAATTTGAGCTCAGGAATGAGACTGATCTGAGTTCAAATCCCAGCTCAGTCACATTTGAACATCCAAGCCTTTGGCAAGTTCTATAGTAGCAACTGACATTAGCACGCTTACTAAGCACCAAGAACAATTCTAAGAAATGGCAGAAATGGACTTGTTTTCTGTTTGTAGCACTTCTGTGAGTCATGTCCCATTTTTATTGAGGTTTGATGGGTGAGGTAGCTGAAGCACAGGACAGCTACGATCTTGCCTACAGTAACAGAGAGAACTTCTGACGCTAAGATCCTAATGTTTGCCTTCTGTTTGCAGAGGGTGTCATCTTAATCACTAAGTTATATTGCTTTGTGTCCAGGTTTTACAACTTAAGATTTAGTCTTCCAAGTTTAGGATGAGGGATAATTTTATTTATATAGAAATATTCCTGTGTGGACAACGTGGAAAAGGTAATATCTGCAAAAACATGTTTCATCCACGCTAGGCACAGAGCATGTGCTCCCAACAGACTTCTGTTGAACTGAAATGAATTGCATGAATTAAAATAAACCATTTACTTTCTGGTTTAAGGAAAAAATATTAGAGAACTTCAGACTGATTTGATACCATGCTTCTGGTATGCTTTTACAGTTTTCTCTCTTTGCAATTATCAAGGTGAGATATAACTTTTTGGTTACCAATAGTCAACTTATTTTGGTCAACTTCTCTGTCTTGGTTCCAAGTAATTTTAGATGCATTCAATTACATAGTTCTACAAACTGAAAACAGTAAGGATCACGAGTGTCATTTTACAGATGGGAAAACTGAGACAGACAAGGGCTAAGTAACTCTGGCCACACGGCTGAGAATAGAGGGTTGGTCTGTGAACTCACACACTTGCGAGAACTCAGCTGTTTCACTACTCTATGCCATCTCCTGATTGGGCTGTGAACTTCTTCATGGCAGGAGTTTTCTTTTTTTTTTTAAACTCACTTCCTTGATATAGTTTGTGGGTCATCGCAAAGAGATCAATTATTGAAATGCTGAATCTCTGCTTTAAGAAGAAATCTCTGGCATTGATAGAAGGGGTTGTCTGATACCGAGAACGGATTGTCTTGGTAGAGCGATCTCTTTTTCTGCACTAAATTATCAGAACAACTGGATGAACTAGGTACAGGCTTGCATATGTCAGAAGGCATCCCAGTGAGTGCAAACATGAGCAGCATTTCCAAGGCAGAGTCAGAAGGACTTGCTGACAGAGTCACAGTTTAAGACAATGCACAGAATGCCAGAACGCTCAGGTGGCCCCTCTGGGTTCTCAAGTACGAAGTCACTTTGGAGTCTTGACAAATCAGGTGCCTGAACATGACCCTCCCTCTTAGTGGCCCACAGCTTGCGGTGACAGGACTTCAAAGCCACACAAAAACTACTGCGGAAGCTCCCTCTCGTCTCGGCATCACCTGCAGGTGGAGACTCAAGCAGATGATGTAAACCTGGTGACTGCATCACCCCAGAATGCCATATGTTTTGGTATCATTTAGAAGACGTGCTTTTCATGCCCCTCCTTAAGCTTCAACTTAGAGTGCTAAATTAACACAAATGCATTTTTAAAGTCAAAAATGTCAGTTGGGTCTTGTACATACATTTCCCCGCCTTGTCTAGGAGTCACAAATAGACTGCGGCATTCAGCTTTA